TCAGTTGTTGTTGTGAAGGGTCGGCCAAGTCCATTTGGAGGCCATAAAATCATGGCCGCTGTTTTTTCGCCTTCTGTGACGGGCACTCAATCCTAGGTCTAAGTCAGAGACAAGCGGTCATTGCATTGTGGCCACAAAAAGTTTACCGACACTGCTCGTGTCGTCGTATATTATTATTATTGTTAGTATGCTCATTTGGAGTGCTCTAAAGAGCTGGCAAGACCTAAAAGGCAAAAGTTTTCGCCTTGTTGCGAGGCAATAATAAGCAACGTATAAAGTTTGCCAACTTGAAAGCAATTAACGGACTAAATCAAAAAGTAATTTTTTCATGACGAACAAAGACGAACAAATGAACAAAAGTATCAAAAACGAAAGTGGAAAGGCAACATGATGGCATACAATAATAATAATAAAAAAAAACGAAAACAAGCGTGTGGGTGTGTGTTGATGCTTTTGTGCATAAAAATGTCAACAACAAATGCTTCCACAAACTCATTTAGCCAGCTACCAAGAAACATTGGCAACATTAAAATACAAAACTTTTAATTAATTTTTCTCATTTTTGTTTTTTGCTAATTGAACACACATTGCCAATAATATGCATATAGTATACGTGTGAAACCAATTAGCGCCTCTTTTTTAATGTCATATTCAATTATTATTTTATTTTATTTTGTACTGAAAAGAAATCTTTGGTTGCTGCCTTTTACTTTTTACGCACATTGGCTCATTTAATTATAAACTCATTAAAATTGACAAAAGCCAAGGCCCATTAGCCGGCGACGCACATCAAAATGAACATTTTCAATATGCCAGCAGGAGAAAAGTTTAAATTTAGGACAAAAGGGTTTTATGCTTAAACAACAAACAGCACCACAATCAGACTGGTTGGGAAAAGGTCAACGACAGCAAAACGAGCGGCTGTCCAAAACAAGCCAACAACCAGTAAACCAACCATCCATTCAGCTTCAGTCAAGGAGCCAGGCAGCCAGTCAGCCAGTCAGCCAGTGAGCCAGGGTATGGACTGTGCTTGGAGGCAAACGGGCGCAGCATGTGCCTTGAATAATTAAACTGGAAATTTTCACTTTCAATTAAGACGTCGACACCGTTTCGAGCACACGCCCAAAACCAAAACGGATGTTGAAGCTTCAAGTGCTTGGAAGGCGCACAACTGCAATGCTATCAAATAAGCAAAAACAACAACAACTACAATGTTGGCCTTGTTTTGTGTTGTTTGCAAAAACATACATATACTTTTATGTCTGTTTCTTGTCTGTTGTTTTTTGTTTGTTTGAATGTGTCTGAAAAATGTCCTGCAGCTTGTTTTGCTCATTTGTCGATTTTCCAACTTCTTCTTTATGTTAATGTTGCCGTTGTGCTTTTTGGATGTCAGCCTTTTCGAAAGGTGTCGTAATAAGGATTTAATTTGCCAATTTCCCTTTCAACGGAATTTTCATGCATAATTAATTGGATTTTGCCTCCCCCCATAGAAGTAATGAAATTAATGTGATTTATCAGACTATTTAGGCTTCGACCTGCCAGCAGCGAAATTATTTGCATTCCATTCGATCTTAATGATTTTTTTAAAGCAAATCAATAGGCGCTGCCTAAACGACCCATTATTTTTTCGACGAAAAGATAAAATTTGCCAAACAACATCCTGCCATACAAGAATTTAGAACACAATTTGAATTATCCAAACATCATATAAACACAAACAAGTAGATGTACACGTATATGTAGATGGGCCTTCCTTTTTGACAAATACAAACAATCTGCGTACGAAAGAAATCTTTTGTGTACACTAAAAACAAAGTGTCCATTTTTGATTTTACAGTTGAAGTACTCAATTCTATTTAAAAAGGAACACTCTGTTATATTCGTTTTACACGTGATCTACAACGGCATTTAAAATTGTAGAGATAAACAATATTATTTTTCCGGTATAAAAATGGGAATTCCAAAGGGAAGCAACAAACTCGACTGTATAAAAGCAAAGTATCCATTGTACATTTTTTCTTAGAAGTCAAAAAGAAAAAGTCGCAGTTAAAGTGTAAACAACCTGTTTCGCGTTTGGCAGTACCTATTTCAAAGAAAAACAATCTTATTTTTGATAAAAATTTGCGTGTGCAACTCCTTACTAAAAATATGGGTTTCGTTAGAAAATTTGTTACTCTCTCTGTAGCAAGTTATATGAACAAACAGATAAGAGATTAAATAAAAAATGTTTTTAATGCAATGAACATTTTTCAAGCACAAACACAGTTCAGACAAAAAGTACACACAAAAAAGCGAAGTTCAATATATATACATATATATATATATAATAAACAAATATATATATTTATATATAAACATATATATTTATATATAAACATATATATTTGTTTATTATATGTACTTTAGCTTAAAACAATATTTTATGACAAACAAGAAACAAGTGTGCGAACATTTTGAAAGTTTAACTTAATGTCTTTTTCAATTAACTTTTTAGTTAATTAACTGCCCAGAGGAATCTATTTCTTATTGTACCCGTAAGATTATATGCATTTAAAATGGGACAAGAAAACTCATATATTTAATTAAAAGCAAGCCCACGTAAAAATAAAAAGAAAAATTTCCACGCAGACATCAATACCATGGCACCATCACACAAAGGCCCGAATGTATATAGGCAGCACCCCATCCTGCACCCACTCCCCCAACATTTGAGCGAATCTAACGTTGCCAAGCATGCGTGAATGTGTGTGGAACAGTGCCGCCAACTTGCGTTTGTGTCAACTTTCGACACTTAAGTGCCAAGAAGTGTCACACACAAGCACATACGCACACACTCTTTAAAAGCTGCCAGACATTTGCAAATTATGTAGCATACTTCTTGGTGCAAGCAACTAACAATGCAAATGAGCTACGACTTACTGCGAATGTTGGCATGTGAGTTGGCTTATTGCAACTTCCATAGTTACATACGAACCTATATGCAAACACAGTACAAACATACTGTACTGAATTCCCCTTCCAATTGAAAGTTTACAAAAGAAAATCAAGAGATACGCAGATTTCCGGAAAATGTTCTCTGCACTTATTAGTTTTTCGTGTTATACATTTTCAAGCATATAAACACTAAATTTCACAAATTTTCACGCAAAAATTAATCTTCGCATGTCGATGTGTGTTCAGAAAACACTTTAAGTCTAATTTCTAAATTTGTGTGTACGTTTTTCATTTTTCCCTTTGGTAAATGGGCTTTGCAAAGTAAACATTTATTATTTAGACCGACTAAGCCATAAACAAAAAGTTCTTGGTAGCTGTTTTAATAATAATTTTTGCTTAATTTCTGGATAAGTCAAAAGGTGTTTCTTTGGAAATAGAACAAACTCATTGCTAAATAAACGGAATTGTTGTTGTTTCGTTTGAAGCATTAGAAGGCTGTGCTAGGAATATATTTTCTTTGTTGTGCTGAAAGGACTATAATTTAATTATTTTCATTCTGTACATTGCATATATTTTGTCATTCGATTCAGGAACTTTATTTATTTATTTATTATTTATTTCGAGGCATATTACAAGGCCTGAAAAATTCTATATTGTAGTCGTGCAGATTAGTCATAAATAAGCAAAGGTTTTCGTTAATTTTGACTTTAAAAACGACTTTGTAAGCCATCAATCGATCATAATATTTATTTATAAATATTTTCTCGACTACTCGCTGATTGGCTGGATTAATTGTCAAGTTGTTAATGAAAAGCATGAGGCTTGAGGTATTATTTAGCAGGCAATAGTATTACTTAATTATTATCTTGACTTCTTTCTGACTTATGATTCGTGCCAAATTTTAAATGTTCCCTTAACATTGTAAATTTGTGTATCTTAGCACAAGCAATACCTTTTTCTGGTTTAATGCTACGAAAACTTTTCTCAGCTCTTAGCCTTTAAATTAAATGTAAGCACTCTTGGGAGTATAAGAAAAAGCTGTCAGCTACATTTCGCACCGCTCAGCAGAACCAAACAAAGCTGAGCATCATTAGCATGCCGCGACTTGACTTCTGGTCGAGCAATTATTTATCATGTAAGTTCGCTTGGGCCTGGCATGCGAGCGAGTTTGACAAAATGCCGTTGACATTTACAAATGAGCGCTGAAAAGACAAACTAATTAATGAGCCCAGTGCACAGAGTCGGCTAATTAAAGTGCTGTGTGCTCTGCCTCCAAGCGTCTGTATATTAATATGGATGTATGTATGTGTGGGTGTATGGGGGGAGGGGTGTGCGTACACCGCCGACATGCAAATCTGCTGTTGAAAAGCACGCAGCTCCTGCCCCTTCTTTCTAATTCAGTCTAATGTATTGGAAATAAAGTCTACTCTATTCTCTAATTTTTTGATTTTGTTTGACTTAAAGCAAATGTTAAAGTGACATTTTAATTAATATTGTCAGCATGCTGGGCACACTACAAGCACTGTCTTGAACGTAATTTTCTCATTTACTCATTTGCCGTGCACAACGACACGGTCGCACACACACAGACACACAAACAGACTGTGAAACTTGGCGAACAATAGCCCGGGCCCTGGCTGTGGAGCACTTGAGCACAGCTTGAAGCAGCATAATGGGCTGTGCCTATAAGTGTGCACTTGTGTAGCGTCATGATGGGAAAGTAGGGAAGTAGCTGCCAGCAATGCAGCCAGCTGGCCCGCCGGCTTGCCAGCTCGCCAGCCCACCAGTCCACCAGTTTCGCAACGGTTATAAAAATAATAATGACAGCTAGGCAGAAAGAGAAAGAAGCGGAGGCCAAGCAAACAATAATAAGTTTTCACTAGACAGCCGCTTGCACTAAGGATACGTTCAATTTTTAGTGCGGAGATTTATGACGTACGTACTTTACGGACACAGCATTATTTTTTATGAATTTTCAATGCAATTTCCGGCATTTCATAAATTCTATGTGCATGACGTGAAGTGCAGTAAATTTAAGTAATTTTTCGTTTTCCGTTTTCTTTTAGAATATTTAAGATGACATCACATTCGGTGCAAGAAGATGTCAATTTGCTCCACGCTTCCGTGCTTTCCATGGTCGAATTCGATGATGATATATTTGCAGCTGGAAACTGCTTCGATTGGAACGAACATCCTGCGCAGCCAGGACTGTTCTGTCCCTTTGCGTACCGGTTGCCGCCACCAAACTTGGGCGCCGTCTTAGCCAAGGATCTGGCCATGGAATATCACTATTTGGGTAATACATCGGAGTGGTTCTTTCTGGCGCGCAAGAATGCCGAGAAGGTGATAGCTCGCAATGAGCAGTATCTGAAATGTAAGTACAAGTCCTTTCAGCTAAGGTATGTGTAATTGTCTGTGTGAAAAAGCAATTTAGCTTGCGCTTGATTTATGCGCAATGAGCGTATGGCCTATTCTCACGACTCGAGCAGCCACGCACTTATTTATGTGCTGATAAAAGTCGCGCCATAGAATTGAATATTTATATGTGCCGCGTGCTTTAATCTTTGGCTACATTAGTCAAATGCGACGACATGAGGGGGCGGACAATAAAATTTAAGCACAAGTTCGTGGCCTGTTTGCAGCCTCGCCTAATTAAGTAGCCATTTTGGAGACACATATTTCAATGCGCTTTTATCATGCAACATTTTTTATTACGCCAGCTGGCTAGTCAAATTTCTCTATGACAACAGACGGCAATTAAGCAGCCGAAATAAATAGAGCATCATTAAATGCGAGGCACGGTTTTTATTTCTATTCCTGGTGCCCTTTCATTCCCAAAAATAGAAGCAATAAACGCAAAATTACAAATAAAAAGGCAAAGCCACTTAACATGCAAATGAGAACTGCTGCTTCAACGCACCAGCGCACCATTGAGTAGAGCGCCTTCTTAATTAGCTGTGATTTTTATGGTATAACACGTGCCCGCCCTCCAGGCAACAGCCAACACAGTCCCTAGTGAGGGTCTTCGTATGCTTGAGTGCATTTAATGCGCTTCTCTGCATATTTTTGAAGCAAATTGCCTATTTATATGCCGCCTGACGCATTGATATTCTATTTGCATGTGATTTTGCAAGCTAGATTATGTATGCGCTTGTATGTGTGTGTCTAAGTCAATTAAATACACATCTTTGCTTAATCACTGAAACCATAGCATACACTTGGGCGCAGCAATTAAAGCATGCAAATGGAAATCCCCATTTTAAGTGCACACTTATACCTATTTGTTGAATAGAATTCAATGTTTTAACCGTTTAAGGACTACGGTTTGTCCTATCTAGCACTATTTTTACGTTTGAATTATGTTATGCGAATGAAAAAGCGTAAAAAATTGAAAAAAACTGAAATCTCTGGTGAGCACGTGAAATTGTTTGAATAGCTTCAACTATTAGTTTGTTTTTTTTACAAGCTGATACGCCACCTATCTGTTAGAAGCCGAGTGTTAAAAAAATAAAGTAAAAGTGAGATAAATGAATTCTGTTCAGAGAGCCAAATGAACGCTCATTGACCTTGTAGCCGCATGATACATAGATACTCGTCAGCAATGCTTAAAATGAGAAAAAAACGAAAGTTTTCAATTTAAAGGCGAACAAAATAGATGCAGGCTTGACTTAATATCAATGAAAAATAATAATAATAATAACTCATAGCGATCCCACTACCAACGATTTTTTGGCACATCGCTGGAATAGATGGTTAAGGCAGATTTTACGGCGATCGGTTGAGGGAACACAGTCCACAGCTCTTGTGAAGCGGTTAGATATACATACATACTTTTTATTTATACTTACTATATAATGAATTTTATGTATTAAAACAATTTCTCGTTAATGCATTCTACGTGGGGAAATATACATATTTTGCTCATTGTTCGTATTCTCCGTTTAAGTTGATATGAGCCTGAAATTAATATTAAGCTTGCCACATTGCATATTTGAACAAAATTTCATAGCGATTAAGAAACAGAAAAAATAAACGTTCCTAACACCATTTTCCATGCAAATTACTAATAGGCTTTTCCAATTTCCATGAAATTGAACCTTTTTACACGCCTATTAAATGGGACATGGGTGATGCATGTGTTTGGTGCACTGTGAATTTAAAATTGCATGCATCATGCGGCTTGGGGCCTGTTTGCAAGCATCTCAATTGGCCTTGTGTGGCACATTTTCACAAATGACATGGAATTGAAAACAAACATCCAATACCCATGCAAACTAATGCCATGTGTGCAGACTGACGCCCATCTGTTCCACGAACAATGGCTGCGTGTGGAAACTTACTATTTGCTATGAGGATGAAATTGAAAAACGCAGTGAAATAATATTTGCAGCTCAAATAATCAACGAATTCAATTGGGCTCGACACCATGAGTTAGCTTGGGCGCTTGTATACTGCAGTGACCGCCATTTGACATCATTTCATTTATCTATTAAAGTATACGACCTCGTCGCCGTATTTGTCACGGCAATGCCTACAACCGCACACACAAACAAATACATACACGTACATATATATTCCTACCAAACATACAAACGAGTATGAATGCATATAGAGACATAGACAGACACAGTAAACTTATATCGAAGATGCCATAACTTTAGCATCTACTATGATTTATGGGACAAAATGTTTGCCGCTCTAAAGGCGCGCGCCTTCCTACATGTGTGAGTGTGTGTACCAGTATCAATATGTGTACGGCTTGCTACTAGGTATAACTCAAAACAATTCTGGGCAAACGCGCCACAATGCGCCTCCAGGCAGTGTCTGCAGCATCCTTGCGAGAGGCGAACACTACATTGGCCGTCTTTCACATTTATTTTGCATATTTGCTCCAGTCGCCGCAAACGTTTTAAACTTTTGTTCCTCCATGCTAAAACTTTGCCGTTAAATGAAAATTTCGAACATGCCTAAAGTTGTAAATCGCAGAAATTGAAAGTTAGTTTATTGAATTTTCAAACTTTTTCAACCCAACTATAATTTTAGAAAATTCGACACCATAGTCAATCGACCACATAACGGGCATTTTTATAATACACACAAATTACGAGTATACTTTATATGTTTAATACCGACCGAACTAAATATTATTTGAAAAAAAAAAAAAACAATTTCCCTAATGATTGCAATTTAAGCGCATCAATTTATTACCTTTTTATAAACATTTCCTAGCAACGTACATTGCAATTAGTTTGGCCCATATTTGATTGCCATAAATAAGGAAGCCAAAAAATAATAAATTCTGTATATATTGAAATATAGATTAACGGATTATGTGTTTTAAAACTTATTTAATAAATTATTGAAAATCTATAGTGGACAAATATTAAATGGGCAGCAGCTATTGGCAGGCATAATTTAATTATCAACGAATTGCCACGACGGGCATTTCAACACTTCACTTCATTTGATAATTACATTTCCATTTCATTAGTTACATATTTTGCCACATGCATCGTGGCAGTGACAGTAATAGAAAAATTAAAATTGAATGAAAATAATAGGCTCGAAACTTTGTGGAATCTTTTTAATTTTGATTTCCCTATTACTAGTACTACTTTCTTGTTAATCAATAAATATAAATAAGAAACATCATTTATTATCATTTATCATTTATTATCGATTGGGAATTGTTATACATAAGCTTAAATTCAAACTAAAGTTGAAACATGTAAATTATCGATATGAAATGAAAATATTCCATACAACTCTTCCACTGATTAAATCCAATTAAAAATCTACTTTTATAATAAATTCAATAAAAGCCTAAAACTATCTTTAAATTGCATTTGAATCTAGTTATCATTATAGCCTGTACCCAAAGGGTGAAAGGCTATACTAGTTTTGTGCGCATGTATGTAACACACAGAAGGAGGCGTGGCAGACCCCACAAAGTATATATATTCTTGATCAGGATGAGAAGCCGAGTCGATATAGCCTTGTCCGTCCGTCCGTCTGTCCGTCTGTCCGTCTGTCTGTCCGTCTGTCCGTCTGTCCGTATGAACGCAAGGATCTCAGAAAGTATAAGAGCTAGAATAACCAAACTTGGTTTCCATATTCTCCTAAGGCCGAGAAAGTACGAGTTTGAGTTTTTTTTCGATGCGCCCTCCCACTCCCCCGCAATTCGTGTTTATTCTTATAACTTCCGTAATTCTAGGAATTTTGAAATCAATTTTGGTAGGTACATCCAGTTAGTACTAATGTGTCCGTATGCCAAATTTCATCATGATAGGTCAATTCTGTAGAAAGTTATAGCCATAAGTAAAATCGCTGCTCATGCGCTGCCTCTGTCCGCAGCGCTGCCCGCAGCTGTTGTTGTTGTTGCTGCTTTGGTTCAACTTTGTGCTGCATACATACACGCATATAAACACGCATAGGTACGTGATGTAAATGTATGCTGTTAAAACTAAACATAAACATATATTCTAATTTAATTAAATTAATTAATTCATTAATTTTTTTTAATAATTTAATTCTTTTTAAATTTTTTTTTTTTAATTTTTCATTTTTTGTGGAGAGTACAGGCTATTTTACTGTCGGGCTTGCTCGACTGTAGCGTTCTATCTTGTTTTTATTATGAATAAATCAAATGACAATGACAAAGCCTTCATTCTAGGAAGGAAAAATCGCAATCATAGCTCACTTGCATATTTAAATCAACAGTTACAAAACAAGATAAATTGCGAAATTTTCTTGACAGGTGAAAGATGGTCTTAAAGTATCTTAGAAGCTTGAAAAACAGGGGAATGATTTCACTGCAGAGGTAAAGAATTGTTTATAAATTGCATAGTTATGGCAAATGATATAATTATTAAAATTTATTTCTAACATGACATGTTAACTCAAATGAAATTAAATTAAAATAAAAACAAAAATCAAATGCTAGTAAGGTAAGGTAAGGTCAAATGCTAGTAAGGTATTAAGTGAAAGTAGAAATTTTTACCTAAAGCAATTTCAATTTTCAATTTTGATTAAAAAGTTTGACATTTGATATTCTGACATTTTCCATCACAAACACAAACAGCATGTATTGAACGTTTGTTTACGCTGAATTGAAAAATTCATCTCTGCCAAAAAATTGAAACAAGCTGGAAATTTCGCGTGCGTTGATTTATTACAATTTTTAACATGGACTAACAACAAGAGTTAGATCAAATTACTTCGACTACGAGGAACCCCTCAGCCTTTATGAAAGGCTGACACACACATTTAAAGTTTTCCCTAAAACTGCTGTATAGTAAACCAAACGCAGGTTTGTACTCGTGTGTGTACTATATGTCCAGTTTCCAATAGGCAATTACAATTACCTTAAAGAAATGAACATATTAAGAAGAGATTATAATTTAAAAATTACATTTCAACATAAATTGCAAATCCTAATAAAATTATCATTTAATGGCTTTATTCCAGGAGCAGTAGAAGTAGGGCAAAAGGATTAGTTAATGTAGCGTACCTAACTGCAAGAAAAATGTGTTTAGTTTTTCAATCAATCGCCATGGTAACTAAGAAGGCAAAATAATAACAGAACAGCATATCGAAAAGGATAAATATAATTAGAGCTTCTTTTAATTAATTTGTCTAATTCTTTCGCATTTATCTAAAGACTTTGACAAAACGACAATAAATATACATATTTGTGAAATTTCCATTGTCGTCAACCCTTACTAAAAATTGTCCGCATTATTGGCATAGTTTTTCTTGTTTTCTTCAAATATCTAAAGAAGTGAATGAAAAAGACTCAACAACCAATTCAATGCCTAAGAGATTTCATTGCCGTAATAGTGACCTTAGCACTTGGGCAATATTTTGACTGGTTATTCCATATACAATAAGTGAAAATGTACTTGCAGCCAGGAAAGTAACAAAGGGGAATCTTTTGAAACCTGCAAGTGATTTGTTGGGCAGTCCGATGAAACTTTCTACACGCCACTAATGTGGCAGAGGTCCGTGCTATCGGCCCACACATTCCCACATAGTCGCATACACACTTATATGTATATATAGAATGTATATTTCATGTACGTGTATGTAGGTGTAAACATGTGCGAGTTGTAAGAAAACCGCAAAAATATGCCGTAATATTTGCTTTCAGCTGCCATCGCTACCAATGTCGTTGTGACAGTCACTGTCGATGGGAATCTGGTTGTGTTCGGTGATTTCGTTTTTTTTTTATTTTTGCAACCAGTCACGTGTTTAACATAAAATTTAAATAAAAATCGCATACAATATGTAAACATCTATATGTATCTTCCTTTGTATCTGTGTTATACAGTGCGTATGACTGTGTCTCCAGTGGCTTCTCTTTTTATTTGGCTTAATTTTCAGTGGTTTTTGTTGTTGTGAACGTCGCTGGCGTCGTCAGCATCGTCGCAGTTGTAATTTCCGTCTGTTAACACAATTTGCAAATTTGATTATGGTTTCTACGGTCTTCCCCCAGCTCGCTAGGCGCTGCGCAGCGTGCGGTTTTTCATTTCCATTTCCATTTAATGTTAAACTTCCATGGGCTGTGCAACTAAATCAGCTAAATCTGCCAAGATAAACTATAACATATACAAATTCTATGCAAATTGTGCACATAAAAAATGCGGCTGTGTGTGGGAAAATTTTCTTTCTTTTTTTTGCCAGCCAACAATTGCTAAGGAACAGTTGCTTGGATCCAATGGGAGTGCTATAAATAAGCTTAAATAAGAGCATTCATTTGCTCGGCTGTGGCTTTGCTGCTTTGTTTGCGTTTGCGATTAAGTGAATAAATGTCAATTGCTTGCCAAGCAATTCAAAAAACATTCCCAATTGCAGCGAATATCCCAACTAATCCGTTATAAATCGATCAGCCAAATTCATTTGGCGAACTATTGTAATAATGCTGAATGCAAATTTTGCCACCTGAAACAAAGAAAAAAACAAAAAAATTAAATTAAATGTATGTGCGTGGGAGTGAGTGTTTGTGTTTGCTTGTCAATCAAACTCACACTGATGTTGGTGTTCATGTTGATGGGAAATGTGCCACCTGCCAGAAAAACAATGGGCTGCTGCACATTATGCATAAAATAAGACAGTGTCCTCTTATAGCGTGGTTCGGCGTCGATCCAATTCGATTGGAAAATCGCCTTCGACAGGTCATCGCAGTCGTCCATAAGAAAGTTGCAGGTGTAGCAGAATGGAAATGTTTGCGTCAGAATAGTCACGATAAACATAACAGAGGCTACACCTCTCCAAAAATCCGAGAAGAAGAACAAGTTGATCAATGTTAATCCAAGCACTATACCAATCAACAGAAATTGTGCAAAAATAGTAAGCGATATCACGGGACGAAACATCGCGGAGCATCTAAAAAGAAATCACGTTTCAAACATTTGGTTTGTAATAATTTGTGTATTAACATACTTATAATGAATTAATCGCCGCTTCAAACAAACAAAAATTACTCTGTATCTTATAAAAAATGAATTGATAAGATGATAAGTCTTTGGTTCCATTCACCTAAAACCAAGTGTTTTTGACGGACGCAGATAATATGTCGAAAGTGACAAGTTTTTTCAAATTCATTCGACCCCAAATTAGAAAATAACTCCTAGTCTAAGTTAGGATAGTACGGATACATGAGCAAATGTTTTCTTTTGTATGTGTAGATTCGTTCTAATAAGCTTTATTCTCACATCTACTGTGCAAGAGATGATTATGCTAGGCATAAATAATTATATCAATGGTCCCTGTTAGTCCTCAAGGAACATCTTTTCACATTGAGGTTTACTAGATTCACAGTATTTAATAAAAACTACCACTGTTGGAAGTAATTTGAAATACTTCTTTCATCTCACCTTTTTATCATTTTGTGGTCGATGACGCAATTCACCAGATCCTGAAAGTTTTCATCCTCGGTCTTATTGGGATCTTTGCGAAGGTTGCGTACACGATCTATCAACAAAGCGAAATGACAACGAAGCATCAGGGTATAGATTAGTGGATATACATCGGCCAGTTGATCTTGCAGACAAACAGTTGACATGACGGCGTATTCGAAGAGGGCCTGTGTCCATAGGCTGCCTAAGCCATTGCGCCAATTCACAAATGGCATGTAAATGTACCAAGGCGGTCGGCCCGAAAGTGTATACGAGAGAAACGTTGATCCTGCAAAGCTGCAATATATGAATGTATAAATGAGGAATGCGTAATTGCAACGGGCAACCATTGCGTGTAGTATCGTCCGTTCTTTATCGTTCTGTATACGCTTGTCCATCTCATCTAGCAGTTTTTCCGTTGCGTGCAAACGCCATAGCATCAAAAGTGTAACGGAGGCCTTGAAAGAGCTGCCATATGCGTTAATGCACACCTTCAACGAGTTTAGGAACTCGCCGGGCGTAAAGTTTTTGAACTCCAAAAAGTAGGGTATGACGAAGCCAACAGGACAGTAGCAAATTCCACCTGCAACAGCCAGAAAGCCCCAAATCAAATAAAGATATCGCGCTATTCCTCGTTCTGGGGGCGTCCATCCGACTACAACACAAGCTCGATGGAAATATATGTACGCATCCCGCGATCTCACGTGTTGCGTCACGGGAGCCGGTCGAATTAGCTTGAACATGTCCATCGTGCTCTCTGTTTTCCATTTCGAGCAGAACAGCAACTTATAAAGGCCTCGGGGCGCCACTGCTCATACTTAATTAACAGAAATAGCAAATTGGCGGTCGGATACGTTCTCAAATTGAAAATGCAAACACCAACGCCTCCCCAATACAAGCAATATGGAAACCAAATGTGGCCTGCCAGCTGCTCCATTCGGTACTTTGGAAGCACACGCCTCCTCCACACGGAACTTGGTCTGTAATTAAACAACTAACTTAAATTATTACCAAGTGTAGGAGTGGCTGTGATTGATTGGGTAGGCGTATACGTTTATAAAGGGGCCCGTTAGAACCCTCTCACGAAGCTCTTGGTAAAATGCTGAATGATATCCAAACACAAGTACAAAGAAATTGGGTAATTTTCATTATTCTTTAACGCTTTAAATTACTTTTCCCAGAAAGATCATGATCTGCCACTGCTTTGCCAGAACTCTTTCCCGATTCAAGTTCAGTGCTCCTACACCTCCATACAATAACTTTCGTATCAGTAATAAAATTTTTTTTTCTCAAAATAATTGTTTACTATAACAACAAATATTAGATATTTTTATTTTCTCTATTAAAATTTAAAAAAAGTTTAAACTGCAAAAAACTTCGTAATAATAAAAAAAATTCAATTCAGTTTTAATTTTTGATTTAAGAATTTAAGAAGTATGGCATCATACTACATATTATTTATACTTGCTTAGTTAGTTAATGAAAAATACAAATTAAATCGAAAATAAATATATAGACAACAAGATTATTGTTTCGTTATTGTAGTCCTTCTATTTGTAATATGAATTAGTACGGTCCTTGACAAGTAAAATGAAGACGAATTTCAGAAGTTCAGCAATTACGTATTTTGGCAGTCGATCACACAGGAAAACTAAATAGTTTTGATTTAATATTGTTCAGAAACGAAAAACTTATATGGTTAATTTTAATTGTACATCTGATATGCTGTTAAATTCTTAAGCTTCGCCTTGATTTATGCTTCCCCTCCAATTCCGAGTATTGACTTAATTAAAATTGCATCCGAAATGCTTGCTCAATGGGCAAGTTTACGTGATGCCGTCGCGTTCTGCATTTCAAAACACGCAACACTGCATTCAAGGCTACATTTATCGATTATTTAAATTGTGCCTTGCATTACATTTATATTGCATCAATAAAAAAAACTTGCACTCCTTGCCTTTGTAGCCTTTCATCTCTATTCGAACCGCACTGAGGAACGTATCGAGGCCGATACGTTGGCCGTCAAATACGAGGATGGCAGATGGTCGAAGCCCTACTACGATTGTGGCGGAGGCAACATCTGGATGTTAACCTATACAGTGCCGTTCTTTGGCTACGAAAATGGCACATATCATTTCAAGTGAGTATTGAAAACATTAGAAATACAGAAAATATGTCTAAATGCCAAAGTAACGGACACCAACTCAAGCATACCCCGTATACGGCCTCCCAAAAAATTATGTGTTTGGTTGTATATACATATAAAGTACCATTATTTTACAATAGCGAACACATAAAACAGTTTGCAGATATAATTATTTTACAGGGGTACATACGTGTATAGAGTACTTGTATATTCATTTATGGCCATTATAAATTGTTCGTATACTCGTAATTTATAAAAGACGCTTAACTTAAGTTAGATCCAACAGTAAAGGGATGTACATGTACACTCGCACAAAACTAATGTACCCTTGTACCCTTTGGGTACAGGGTATAAAAACCTCAGATTTCGTTAGAAAAAGTCATTTCTGCCTATTGAAATCCAATTCCATGGCTATGTTTATCGGGTCGAGAAAAGACCGCCCCTGTCCCTCTAGTACGGGCGGACTCTAAACAAATAAGCAACTATTGCTGCTTAAACTCTAATTAGTGTGAACACTAAACACACAATAACCAAAAAGTTTGCAGCACAAAACCTTTTAGCAAGAATATGAGTATTCCATACCTGGCTCACTCAAAACACGGATTCGAAAAACGATCCGTCTATTCTTTAACAAGTTATTTAGTTTTGCTCGAATACTGTATTAATTTTACAAGCTTTTACGAATAAGTAATTTTAGTATTAATGAGATTAGTATGCTTCCGATACGAATTGCGCATGGGGTTTTCCATAATGTACAGGAAAACTCTCAAGTCTTCAGAAATGCCAAAGTCATCAGCTACTAGGATTTCATATAAATATAACGAATTCCTTATCCTCAGAAAGCATTTTAGTTGCAGTTTTCCTTTTCTATGTCACAAACTTTTCCCACTTTTCAATGGCTCAATGAAGCATCACAAAACAAGTAAGGATACATTTTGGGAAATCAAAGAAATTTACTGATGTTGTGTGTTCGCTTGACGCGGCAAGAATCAATAAAGTTGAAAAGAAATTAATTTTTGTATATGGGAGAAGAGCAAGAGATGTAGTTTAGTAGCGTTTAATTACTGCATTCAGTGGAAAGCTATTTTCAATATGAAATGCTTGGGCACTTTGATAAGAGCTCTCGCATAAAATGAACAAATTAGGCAAATAAAACGCACAATTTTCCGTGCTGTGAGGGTAGAGTGCTTTAAACAATAAGCTGCTTAGAAAGCTACAGCAAATTATCAACAATAGCAGACAAGGTTGGCTGTAAGCCATTCAGTCGGGGGGCAGAGCAGTTGACGGTTACAGTTTTCAGCCACCAAATAAGTGTAACAACAGGAGTAGTTACTACACAGAATTGAGTGCCTCAGTGTTCGGGCTTTCAGCTTGATGACAGCAAAAAGCCATTTTGTTATTTACGACACAAAGTAGGACTACAACGCTCGCATACAATCATTCACATTTCCACTCAGCTTCCTGCCTAATTTGTAATTATCATTTGGAAACAGGCCGAAACTGGCAGGAACAGACAACAACAGACAAACGACAGACTGACAACAAATTAGCAAATAATTTTTGTGACTGTTTGTCGCTACAATAAGTGTCAGTCATAATTCGCCTGGAGGCTAATGAATGCATCATCCATCTGCTCGTTCGCAGGCCCTCGGCCAATTTGTCGTTACACGCTTTCGGCTTAGCCCTGGAATATTATTATTATTTATTCAAAATAAATATATCTTTGTTCTCGACCAAGAATTTCTCATACTGTTCCGTATTCGAGTCTTTATCGGGCTTATAGCAATAGCATGGGTAAACCATTCGCAGCTCATGCCATTCCGGTGTTGCTCCTGGTCGGGGGGTTGTCGTAAAGCGCATCCGCTGATGCCCTACAGATAACAGAAGATGAAATATAGACAAATATATGTTTAAGGAAACTTCTCCTACTTACAGCGCGTTTGGTAGTATTGCCTTTGCCACCAGGACAAGGGACGTTGAGGCCAGTCTACGTGATGCAGTTCAGCGAAGCCCAATCCCATCAAAATAAGCTGCGGCAGTAACCGTTCCAATAACATTTCGCTTCTGTCTAATTCGACTTGTTTAATTCCGCTCAGATTTGCAACACATTGCAGCGTGACTTTTCACTAATGAACGGTATAATTATTAAACCACTGCGCAACGCAAGCGTGAAAATTTGATTACACATTCCCGCCTACCTGCATTTTGGGGTGCGGTGTGGCCTCCATTTGGTAAGCGAACATTGCAGACAGCATTTAATTCAAGTAATTAATTAACAGAGACGACGACAGACACACAATCATGCACATACATACTATAGTATGTGTTTTTTAATTCTTCCATATACTATACACACCCCCAAAATACGCTTGTAATGCTCATTGCAGTAGTAAAGTCTTTTTTGAATGAATATTCTATCCCAATTAGTTTTAAAATATAATTATTCTAACCAATCATCCCCAACTGATTCAGACAAGTGTCTTTACAAATTTGTTGCTTTTATTGATTTTAAAATCGTATAAAGACCGTTCTTAAATTTGATTATTCGCTTTGTTGCTTTTTCGTAAATAACAACCACATTTTCAATTTGTTTTCATCAGGTTTGTAAATGTTAAACAACGGTTGTATATTAAATATATAAGTATGTATATTAAGTATATGTTGCAGTGTGACTACTATAACTATGTTAGTGGTTGCTTAAAAACATTTTTTTAAATGTCTGGTATAAACTTATATCTTATTTGGAAGCTCTTGGGATAATTCAAACATATTTATTCGAATTCACGAAATTTTACTGTCAATATCCTAAGAATGAGAAAATATAGATACATTCAATCGATTCTGCTGGTTGTATTTATAACTATAATTAAACGCGTTATTCCAAATTAGAAGTTCTAATACAATACTAGGCTTACAAATTTTAAAAGTTGTGCTTTTTCATGTTGATTTAATACTTCAAATTAGGATTTTTTATTAGCCAGAGGTAGATATATGGAGCGCATATGGAAAATTGAAGATAAATAGTAGAGCTAAAATATTAGTTTTAACTTTGTTAGAAATTTGTTTTAACTCACAAAGTTTTTCTGAAGCAGCTGTCTATAGACAACTGAATTGAAGCGTAAGTTGCAACACTTGGTTGAGGCCAAACACTGAACGGAAGCACAGCGATGTCTGCAATTAGTTGCAACATAAATTCGCCTGCCTAATGGACGGATGCAGAAAAATTAATGTATAAATGGTTAAAGTTCATTAAGTTCATTTTCATGCAGCCAACGAATAAAAGTTGGCCCATACGGGCCCACTGGCCCAGTGTCTATTAAAAGCGCCGGCCATTGCCGGCATCGTTGTAATTGTCGCCATCATCATCATCGTCTTCGGCAGCGCCTGCACAAACAAAGCTCATTTATTTTAGCAGCTTAGAGAAGCGTGCTATGGCCACAGCCGGGCCGGACAAGGAGAAGAAGCTGGAGCTGGAGCGGCAACACGAGCCTCGACATTGCCTGTGAAAGGGCGTGCTGCACGAAAACTGAAAATGAAGTTGTGCGGCAAAAAGTCGAATGCCTCCACTTCTGTTGCATGCAAAAGTTCAACTGGCTGGTCTGGCATCGAGTTGACTCGTGTTAATAATGTGCAGCTATCAGTTTCCCATTAGTTGAAGCTGACCATTAAATTAATTTGTTTAGGTCCGAACATCGCGGAACAGAAAGGCGAAGGCCAGCCAAGCTAAAGTAAAATGCCTGCGCCGAAAGTTGCCAATTGATTTAATTTATAACGCTGTTTGCGTGTGGTCTTCTGTATACCATTTATAGTCGTAGTATGTATGTGAACAAATGTATGTATATTTGTGTGTGTTAATTGCATTCAAAATGCATAAACAACAATGCTCAGCATTTCATTTAATTTTATTAAAACTTATTTGACATCAAGCCAGCCAACTCTGCAAATGAAAGGCGACAAAAAGGAGCACAAAGCGAAAATCACATTAATATCCCGCTGAGCACAGACTAAGAAGGACCAAAGAAAGGCCGTTTTATTACGCCCAGCTGCCATTTATGTTGACGGGCCTACTGCGGCAATAATTTTATTAGATTTTATTTCAGAATTCTCACACACACAGTACACGCCGCACAGCGTGTAACAAATTTTCAATATTAAAGTCTTATGTATAGTTTGTCACTCGTTCGCATAGCTATGGGCCTTAATGTGCATTACTTTGACTTATTTTGCAATATTCCACAGTTGCACAGTTTCTGAGCGGCTTAAGATGCTCACATACGAAATGCTCATACTCTCACAATAGCATAAATGTACACATGCCGGGCCACAAAGCATAATGAGGCTGACGGAAACGGAAATATCAAATATGCCACGCAATAAGACTGCCATTGTGAGCATGCCTTGTTAGACAGTCACTTGTTGGAGGTTTCGCTCGTCGAGCCAGTGAGCCAGTGAATACATTTTGAATATGCATGATTGTGAAATATGCATATTGCAACCTCTGATCAATGTGTTCGTACCAGCATACTATTTGTGTTATTGGCTTTTATGCAGCATTTAAATTTCCGTCAGCTGCATTGTACGCTATACTATACTCGTAGTTAGATTAAAAAAAAATTAAATTTCAATTTACCGAGCTGCTTGATATTTTTGGCATGACTGTTGTTTTATGATCCAAATTGATTCAGTGTGAGTTAGAGTAGAACAAGCTAGAGGGCTTCATAACTAACATTATTTTGTTTTCTGTGGTTTTTCCTGCTACCGTTTTCAGGTGCCAATTTCCTTGTTTTTAGCATTTCTCTTTATGCAACAGCTATTTTTGGTCCTTCTTTAAAGTACAATACAATCACTTCATAGCTTATGCAAGTGGTTTTGTGGAACTATATATCAGAGAAAACCTCATATTCATAAAGAGCATCCTTTTGATGAGGCTGACACTAAATGTATTTGAAAATTTTTTTTATGTCGACTATATGAACCATTCTCTTTGCTATACTACAAGTATATATACCCTTTAAAAGTTGAACTTATTCCTTTGCATTTTATTCCAGACTTCAGGCTTGTAGCATTCACTATTACGAGCTGAAAAGTTATTTAGCTTACAACAAAAACTGTATTCTTACATGGTCTTGGGATGCGAACTACATATATATAGGTTCAATTGGGTTATCCATCATACCAATATTTTGTGTTCTTGGCTTTTAGATTAATAAGATACAATTTTTATTTTTAATCCAATTTATAAATTTGCCTTCAAAATATTTAGTGTGGGACAGTGTATCAAATAACTCGAAAGTTATGTTTCGGAATCTCCCTCTGTCAATAACTGCAAGAGGAGAACATCATCAATATTTTCCTCTGGCCACCTTCTGGCAATCAGTTTATGTTTCTGATGAGCACTGCCATAGTTTGCATGTTAAAGTCCAATGTCAGTGTCACTTGTCATGGATCCACGCAACGGGGCCAAGGCCGCTGGCCATGATTGCACGAAAATTTATCAATATGTATGATCCAGCCCCCTGGCTTTCATTACTTTACCGGTATGTCTCAGATGTTGATTCAGAAGTAGACCCTTACATTACAGGTGCGCCCACCTTCAGTCAAAGTCAATATCAAGTAGCTATAAACACACTTGTATATAGACGACATCTATAACAAGCCAAAAACAAGGCCAGCAATGAAATGTCAACAACTTAAACAAATCAGGCGCCTGTACCATTGCGCCTTTAATGTGGTTGCCCTGACTTTAAAACAGCTCGCAGGCAAACAAACCACTCATGCATTCTTACCATCAAATTTCCTATGACCTTGTTGGCTTGCGAGCTATGCATAACAAGTTGGTTGGTACAACAATTTTCGGGCAATGTCATCCCGCCAGCAACCAATACCAAACTTATTAGAGCTCATGTACATAAACACAAGCTGCATACTTTGTCGAGACCAAAAATAGTTCGCCATTAGCAAATAGTAAATAAGCGCACGCATGGCGTATGCGTAATATGCCAAGCTGACGCGTTGTTTACAAACTCAACTGCAAACTGTTGGTGCGTGTGTGACGAGTATGTGCGGCATGCTGGAATGGGAGGGGGTAAGAGGTATCAGGCGATGAGGTAAAAGGGTAAATCTGACAGCGTTTTATGAAGCTTGTTGGCAACACCAAAATATTCACGATACTATAGTATGTAGTAAACTTTATGTACTCGACAATGGTGCCGCAGACAGACAAAAACACCACCAAGTTGGCAAAGCATTAGCTGACGCCATTTTTAAATAGCGTATACGTGGTGTAAACACTTCATGAACACATGTATGCTTGTGCTTGTGTTTTTGAGTGGTGTATACGTGTGTGTGTTCACTAACTGGCTTGTGTCTAAGCTGGAAAAATGCATTTCGCTTATGCACGCTACGCGTGTATTTGTTCGTGCGTGCACAGAACGTGCACAGCATATGGCATGGATACACGGAATGCAAACACAATACACATATAGTCCACATATACAGACTTACAAGTATATAGGTATATATTCAAACACACAGTAAAGTGCTGAAACTTCGCAGAGATTTACTGCCAAATTCCTTGGCTTCAATGTAATTTAACAGTGCACGTTTAAAATCTCTTGAAAAGTCTTCAAATATTTTAGTTTTAAAAGCTCTTGCATTAAATTTAATAAATACTATATGTACGTTTATATATGTATATCCAAGCTTTTGTTGTTGTTCACCAGCAGCTGCCCAGACAGCAGCTAACAACCGAATTTCATTTAATTAGACAATTTTCAAATAATTTCGTACATAAGCGCCACAGACCAACACAAAACCAATTATGCTAATCAGCTGAGCGCACGCTGCCACATGCCACATGCCACTGGCACATGCCGCAGCTTGGCCCGCAGCCCCATCAACATTTACTCGGAGCAAAACGATATATTCAGCGGTAGAGAGAAATGGAGAGAGAGAGAGAAAGAGAATTAGAGAGAGGGAGAGTGAGAGTGAGGTAACATAAAGAAATTCGCAGTAAATATGCACCAGTCCCGAAAACCAACCGCATTTGTGTTTATGTATCGGTTATGCTGTGTGGTAGATATTCCGAAAATTGAAAATCAACAGGCAATCCCCAATGCAAATAACAAGCGGCAACAACAGCACAGATAGCCACTGGTTAAGTCACTGACTGATTAACTAAAGAATCAGCATTGTCAAGGTCATTAAAGTTCTTTTAACTTTATCCATTTGAATACTTGTCCATTTGAAAGAGCACATTCCAAATATTTCAGTGTGTTGCTCTATAAGAAAAGTTTATATTCCTCCATTACAAAATCAATTTTGATGGCCCCTCCTTGGGTCCTACTACTCTTTTTATACCCTGTACCCAAAAGGGTACAAGGGTATATTAGTTTTGTGCGAGTGCACATGGAACACACAGAAGGAGGCTTGGTAGACCCCACAATGTATATATATTCTTGATCAGCATGACAAGCCGAGTCGATATAGCCATGTCCGTCTGTCCGTCTGTCCGTCTGTCCGTCTGTCCGTCTGTCTGTCCGTCTGTCCGTCTGTCTGTCTGTATGAACGCAAGGATCTCCGAAAGTATAAGAGCTAGAATAACCAAACTTGGTATACAGATTCTCCTGAGACCGAGAAAGGACGAGTTTGTTCATTTTTTCTGATCCACCCCCCACTCCCCCCCTATTAACGATTTTCTATAACTTCCGTAATTCTTGGAATTTTGAACTAAAATTTGGTAGTCACATTAGGTTAGTTATTATATAACCGTATACCAAGTCTCATTATGATAGAATGATCGGAAAGAAAGTTATAGCCATATAACCAGGCCCAATGCACACATACATACATATGTACAAGTACACAAACACGCATAAGGCACGATTCTGATGTAAATGTAAATGTATGTATGCATGCATGGAATATTTTATATTTAATTTAGTTAATTAATTAAATTAATTTAGTTAATTAATTAAATTTAATTAATTAATTAATTTAATTACTTTTTTGTGGGGTGGTACAGGGTATTTAAGAGTTGAGCCTGCTCGACTTTAGCATTCCTTTCTTGTTATACCCTGTACCCGTAGGGTAAAAAGGGTATATTAGGTTTGTGCAAAGTATGTAACATACAGAAGGAAGCATCTCCGACCCCATAAAGTATATATATTCTGAATCAGCATGACGAGAGAAATCGATCTAGACATGTCCGTCCGTCCGTCCGTCTGTCCGTCTGTCCGTCCGTCTGGATGAACGCGAGGATCTCAGAAACTATAAAAGCTAGAATAACCAAAGTTGGCATCCAGATTCTCCTAGGTCCGAGAAAGGACGAGTTTATTTTATTTTTTGGAATTTTCCCCCCCTTCCCCCGCTACAGAATTTCGTCAATAGCGTGCACATTTCAAATGCTACCTAAACCAAACTTTGCACACATAATTTATATATAATTGTCTACTGTTGTATAAAATTTTATTCAATTCGGTCTATTCTAAGAAACGTTATTAGCAAAACAAATCCTCGCCAGTACAACCCCCCCAAACTGCAGCAACAAGTTCGCTCTTCTTCTTCCTCTTTTTGCTGCTGCTATGGGCGCATATAACTCAGTGACGGAAGTTTACCTGGGTACAGGGTATTACACTGTCGGGCTTGCTCGACTGTAGCGTTTTCTCTTGTTCATTATTCAGGAAGTCTTTTAACTCGTTCTTGTTTAAATGCCCGGTGGCATACATTTGCGAAGCTCAGGAATGAAGTTACTAAAAAATGGAAGAAAAATGGTTCGATTTGATAAATGATAAATACGATAAAATTGTTATTTTTTAAAGCGGCTTTCATAACTGTAGTTATTATGTATCGCTAGTCAATATTATCGACGAAAAATACGATATAATCAGTAGACCGTCATTTGGTTCTGTTATAAGTACTTATACATATTAATGTATCTAATATTTATAAGTGCCCTTTGCAAGGCTCTTAGCAGCTTTATCGTTCTTGGCCTTGATCCAAAAGCATAGGCGAATATCAACTAGCACGTACACAGGCTTCAAGAACAACTTATAAATCAATGGCTGTGTATGTGTGCGCTGCGACAGCCAGACATACTACATATATACAAGTATAGTAGATAAGTAGAAAGATAGAGAAAAATGTGATACACACGTAGCCATGCAAAACTCATTCGTTTTGATGCTCGGTCCAACTCAATAAGCTCATTTTCCAATATCCGTTTACAAATTATCTTCAAAACTGTCAACACCAACAACAACTACTAGTTGACTCCACCAAGCGATGGCCCACGAACACACACACACACAAACACACACATGCACACTCACACGCACATAGGAGGACGGGCCGATCGAAACCGCAGCAAATAAAAGAGCGGCAAATAAGAAATTGGCCCGTCATGGGGCCAAACGAACAAAAGTGTTGGGATCAACTGCATGGGAATTAACATAATCATTATTGTAATGTTATATTCCCGTTGCGTAGTTTTGAAATCCTTTCCTTCTCCTTCCTTCCTTCCATCCTTCCTCGCTTCTTATTTTCTTTGCAATCAATAAGTTGTCAGAAACAATCAAATAAATACAAACTGATATGTCAATATTAACTGACAAGCGCATGCGAGCCATGGAACAGGATATGGGTTATACTCGTATGTGCACGCATTATAGAGGATATAAGCCAGCGCGCATTTGATGTTTGTGCGTATGTGTGTGTGTGTGTGTGCTAAAAAGGGCTTTCCGTTGACACACAAAGATGAAAACAGGCATAGTAAGGAGTACAAGCATACGTAGCTGCGTGAGAATGCGGGCTTATTTGGGCTGTGCCTAAATTTCTACATATGTTCGACAATAGAGGCCCAGGTTGTCAGACCCGAACTGCTTCAACTACTCTCCTCAAAGCTGGTGTTTAGATATGCGTGTAATTGGGTGTTGCGCCTTGACCGTAGCAGTCTCGTGAAGAAAGTCTACGATTTCAATATGCCTGTACATATATACATATCCATATGTAAGTGTGTGTATGTATATATATATATATATAGATATATATATATATATATATATAGATATGTGTGTATCGGCTTAGTGTGCGCACCCTTTTCATGGCTTTATGTCTTTGTGAAACGGCACAAGGCACAACAACAAAATTATTTTCTACCACTTTCAACGCAAAAGCGCAAACATAAGACTCTTGTTAGTTGCTGTACTGCCTGCCTTTAGCCTTTTTATGAACAATTCGAATACATTCGTACATTCACACATACATACATACACTGGCACCCACGTCCATACAGACAATCAAAGCCAGAATTTATTGTTTGTTTTGGTATTGCCTGTTCTTGTAGCCAACTACAGGCGGACCTGTCTGTAATGAATTTCTTGTCGGATATCGTCAGATAGTAAAAAGGTTGTCCCATTAAACAAGCATAATTGTATGTTAATTAAAAATAATGTATATTAAAGGTACTCCTAATTGCTATTTAAAATTTGATGTACATTAAGATTTACTACCAAAAAACATTCAAATCGAGGAAAAAACCCAGAAAACACAAAAAATAAAAATATAAAAAGTTCAATGTACCTAAACCAATACCAAACAGGGGCAAAAGTATGGATAACTCTGACATTCTTATACCAAGTACAAAAAAAATTAAAAATACATTTTCAGAATATTTCACTGTACTATGCTAGTGGCAAACTATTTACAAGCTGCTGCCTAACAAACGAGGCCCACATGCCAATCTATAAATATGCGTGTGCCCGCTACGAAGTTTTTATTGAATTCATTTTATAAATTGCCACATTACATTTAAGTGCCGCCCAGCCAATTGTTAAACTGACAAATTAATAACATAAATCTGTGACCTCTGACATTCCCTTTTTCCCTGTTCTATTGCCGCAGAGGTACCTCCGGCATTGATATTGACTTGAGGCGCGTCGATATTGATCAATGCCCACAACGCAGTTCCCCCGGCACCAAGCGACCACTAAACATCTTTGCTGGAACGGATAAATGCAAGCAACGCACAACTATGGTAAGATTCCTTCTAAGTACTCGTATAACAGACAACGGGATCAACTGAATATAAGGAACAGCGCACATACATTTACCACGATATTGAGTTTTCGTTCATTTTAAGTTAAGTTCAATAACCAGTAAATAGTTCAATAGTGTCTTAAACATACATATTTTTTATGAGACACTTAAAAGGCATACACGTAAATTGCTAGAGCATTGGGAGATATTTAATTTCAACTCATAACTTAAATTAAACAATTGATTAAAGCAACAATTTATTTCAAACCTAAAATGGACAATATACAAATATGTTATTTAACGATTTTAGCTAACGAAAGAGAAGGCAATTTATTTCACTTTAATATTGAAAATATGGGATCGCCGAAATCATTGGACTATTCCCACTTCTTATTGCTACCAATTTGAGAGATAAAGGAAGATTTTTGAAGCCGCAGATGTTTTTCTATACATAAAAGCATCCATGTACTTATAAAAATTCTATACTCATTTTTTAATCATTATGTATTCGTTATTGAAAAAAAATATAAAAATATAAAGCTAATAGTCTGTAGCTGCCAGTGAAGAGTGGGGAACTGCGTAGCCCAAGGTAGAAAACATTAACGCATAAACTCTTTACAATTATTATGTAGAACAAAGCAATTCAATTCGAAAGCTACATTTTATTCATTTATTTTGTTGGTATGGAAAAATAAATCAAGTACAGCTACTTCTCTTTGAACAACTTTAAATATACTTACTTTTACTCTACCGATAGTGCGAACCCATAATGGGCTTGGGTTTTCGACGCGGCTCCTACAAGTGCCTGTGCCGCAAGGGCTTCTACTTTCCCGATGTGGCTTCACAGCAAAAATTCTTTAATGGCAGTCTGCTGGAGGAGGAATATGAGAAACTGATGCGGGTAAGTGCTTGAAGGCAGCTGTTGAATGTGAGTGGGCTCGTTCGTTCGCCTGCTCGGTTCAAAACAATTGCAAATCAGCAGACTGTAAAAATTCTTGCAAGCCCCACCATAAATGGCTACATCATGGTCCAATGTCCGCCACTGCGTAGCTTGCCGATTTCATTATTAAACAATCAACGCAGCATGTCTGAAAATAAAGAAGAGAAAATGAAATGAAATACAAAATGCTGAGTCAAGTGCTTTCAATAATTGTCGCTGCTTGACGTGCCGCTCCACAATCTCCACTCGCATTAAGCATCCTTATTTTTGCCTTATCATACCCGCAGGGCAAGAATTCCACATACAACAGCAATAACGAATACGAATGCCTGCCCTGTGCCGAGGGCTGTGACTCCTGTGAGGATGCCTCGCCCTGCATTGCGGCTCTGAATTGGCCAATGCGGACCAGCATTTTGGTTCTCGCCTGCATTGTCATCGGTCTGCTGCCACCGGCTGCCTGGTTCACATTCCGCTATCAACAAGTCAAGGTAAGTAAGTAAGTATGTAATAAGTGATGGGCTAAAAACCCGCATGCATGCATGTCCTGCAACATATCGTGCATACAGGATAATGAAGTTAAATAGCCGTGTAGTGGAAAAAAATAACTCCAGTAGCAGTCACAGCTGCATTTTCAAGTGTTTCTCTTGGCCAAATAATACAATTACTTTACGTTTCGCTTCCTTGATTACTTCCTCCCTCAGTGCTGTTCTACGAAATTAAATGAAAACTTTCTTCATATAAAAGTCGGCGGAGTCAGTGCTGCAGGGCAAGTGTTTTTACTTCCACAATGCTGACTGGTTGACTGCTTGGCTAGTTGGCTGGTTGGCTGGTTGGATGGTTGGTCAGCTGACTGTCAAATGCCTTTGCTCCTGAGCATTTTCAAGCTAAGCTGCTGTCATTGAGAAGTTAAGCAGCTTAGCATTGTTAGTTGCAAGTTAATTTTGTACGTGCTTCTGTGTATCTAAGTATACACATATATATATATTTAGGTATATATATATATTTCCCCCGCATCCTGCTGTGGTCTCCAAAAGTTTGCGCACGCCGGCAACGGATATTGTCGAGCATAAACGGAAGTGGAAACATTCGCACGAATTTCGACTGACTTCCGGCTGCATTGCGGCATGCGTCCTGCTACATTGTCTGCCACCCCCGCTGCCACTTGTGCGCTCATTAAATGAACTTCTTCAGACCCTTTCCTTCGCATCGCCACCATTTTGTTTGCATCAGACGCTAAGCTGTGCAGCAGACTGCACGCAAACATCTCTGGCGTATAATTTAAAACCATTTTGAACTTTGCCATGGCGCGCAGAAAAAAAGTACAGAATATAAAAACTTACTTATATACCCAAGTATTGTGAATTATTCAATTCCCCAGTTTATGTCTGCCATTTTTGCTGCGTGTCAGCCCTTTCCGTTGCCACACCCTCCCTTAGGATGACACAAGGCAACGCAAGGCAGCCAGCTAACTAAACTGTTTTCATTCCTAATGCGATTTTGTCGCATTTGTGTCCACGTCCGTCCTTCCTCAGAACGGCGACACTGCAAACTAATTAAATGGCACAAAACACACTGCTGTATGGATGTTGAATGCCAAGGAACTCCATCGGACATTTCTGTCTGTCCATTGTCTGTCTATCTATCTGTTCTTGCTTGTCACTGCCTTTCTGTGACTTTCAGTTTGTCGTGTGCAATTGGGCAAGTAAAATGATTTCAATTTGATTTTCAACACAACTGAAATGCGTGCTGAATCATCTATCAGAGTGCAAAGGACCAGCTTTTCCATGCAAATATTTGTTATTTCTTGGAATTACTGAATAAAATGATTCAACTGCATAACTCTAAATAGAAAGGCTTAGGACTCTTTAAAAATGTGATCAAACTCTGATTTCTAAAAACCGAAACCCTTATGCCGAAATAATTTTACTGTATGGAGTCCGTGTATTTTATTTTCTGCGGGAGTTGCTGCAGTGCTGAAAGTCCTTTTGAAATGCTTTCCTTTTATTGTAAAGGCGAATACATTCATGGTAAGATCGATTTGAAAGGAGAAATCAAAAGTTTTCTTGGTAACCCTGGCAAGAATGGGTTTCTTAAGTCATGCGCAAGAACTCGATCCCTTATACCTTAACTAATTAAAAATAGTAGAACAGCTTGTATCAATTTATTATTATTTATGAGTTTTAAATGTGTTTGACAAAAATTACTTTAAAGTCAAAACCATAACTGGTTGCCTACTATTTAATTAAAAAGGGCTTGCAGTCTTTATTTTTAGCTCAGCTTATTCTCATTTAATTCCATCCAGAAAATATACTGACATGCATATGCTGATAACAGTTAATTAACCACAGTTCGTCGTTTATTAAATCTACCTTTATTAAGTTAATAAATTAAATTGTAGCCTTGGTAACATACTTCATAACTTTTTCAGGTCGTACGAGCCGCAAGTCCAGCTCTGTTGCGTGTCATTGCGCTGGGCGCTTTCTTCATTTACTGCACGGTATGTAATGGTCTTAAAGTTATGCTAAAGTTAAGGCCAAACTAATTTTGTTTTGCAAAATATTCTATGAATAAGCTTTGCGAAAGTTTTTCCTCTTACATGATTTTCATTTCCGTTCATAAAAACCTCAAGCCACATAAGAGCATTTACATTTAAGCATTTAAGCGAATTTACAAAACTCAAAAAGAGAGAGGATGCAAACAAAATCACTTTAAAACGCATCAGTGACCACAGTCAATTTAAATCAATTTCTACGCAATTTAATTTGATTGATTTATGACTCATGACAAAAAATAAATAAATAATGGCCTTCTGGCCAAATAAACAACTTAAAAAGAGAAACGAGACTGGCCAAACCAAGTCGGCCACAGAAACAACAAAACCTATCCGTAACCAAAGAGAGGCAGTGCAAAGAAATCGTAGATAAAATATTGAGCTATTGCCACCACAGCACTCATCAGTGGACAATACTACTATGATGCTGTCGATGCAGATGAAGCTATTAGTATGCTCTTCCTTTTTATGTATATTTATATATTAAAAAACGTATATACATATTTATGTGCACAGCTTTATGATTTTTTAATACCTAATCCCAGTCTGCTCCATCCAGTGTATATTTATACATACGTATATAATGTGAAAAAATGTGCTGCCCCCACATTGATTTATTAATGCCATAGTAGATAGCACATATAAAAATTGTATATATCATTTTGAACGAAAAAAAAGGCAGAAGAATAGAAAAATATTTAAATATTTATATTGATATTTCTTGTGCTTGAGTTGCGCATCATTTGCAGCTAAATAGACAACAACTGAGAAAAATCGTGCATATACCCATATGTGTGCCTTAACGTATATATGTATGTGTGTGTGTGTGTGTGTGTGTATGTGGGAGGGTGACCCATTTGCAATTCGAATTAGGCGACCGTTTTGCAACAATAGTCAGAGAATTTCTAATAGATTTGTTTGCGAGTATGTGGCTTGTCTTGAGTTTGGCATTAACCTTTTTTATCTTTTTGCAGAACATTGTCATGTATCCAAATCCGAATCTCTACACATGCACTGCGCGTATTTGGCTGCGTGAGCTCGGTTTCTCTTTGACATACGGTGCTCTAATGCTGAAAACTTGGCGGTAAGCGCAAAAAAGTATGCTTTGGAATACGCAAAGAAAATAAATCTCTATTTGTGTAGGATTTCGGTGATTTTTCGTGTACGCTCTGCCAAAGCTGTGAAAATAACAGATGCAGCTTTGCTCAAGCGTCTCGGAATCATTTGTGGAGCCATCGGTACCTGCCTCCTCGTACGCACTCTTGTCTCTCCTCCGGACGTTGTCGTGGGCCGCACTGCCGATGACCTGAAAGCATTTCTATGCAAAACCGATTGGTGGGACTACACATTCACATCCAGTAAGTAAAGGCCCTTTGACAAAAAGTTGGGCCGCGTTTAGCTCTGAAGCAAGGCAACAACAGGGCACACGTTGCTAGGCAACGTATGAAAATAATTTGCGATGCATTCGCCCCAAAATTGAAGCACACAATGGACTTGCCCCTAAAAGCCACTGCATTGCGCACGCACGCTATGAAATGGAAGCACCTGCAACGCACAAAAAACACATAAAAACACACAAAGGACATTTCGAATAACAATGACTGTTATGTTACACACATGCAATATTTGCATGAAGTCCAAACAACAAGAAGTACAAAATTAAAAACCATATCAGCAGCATGTGGAAAAAGGAAAAAACTTGCATACATATGTATGCATTTATACGAGTGCATGATGGAGTATAGAATACCGAGAAAAGTATAGCCATATTCTTAGCAATGTGAAAAGGTTCATTTCGTAACAATGTTGAAATTAAGCTTTACTTGACCCAATTCACATACATGTCTGTTCAATCATGGTGGATGACATTTCTTTGTACCAATACAAAGAACAGCTTTGTCTTTTTGATTTGTCTCTCACACACTACATTGACAGTGCGATATTGATTGTTTCCAGCTAAATTTGTTAAAATGTGAAATATTCTGAATTTAAGATTCGTGAGAAATGAACAATTAATTAAAGTTGATATTGTGGAATATAGAAGAAGTTAGATATATGCACAAATCACTTTTTGTTGAATTAAAATGACATGCTGAACTGTAATAAAAGGAACTTTCTTTGTCCAGCATAGCACATCCACATTTTTAGTTCATATCATTTATAAATGGAAATCGGTTATCCCCTTTAAATGCACGCAATTTTAATTAAAGTCACTCATTTTTATTGCAATTTTCGCGCATCAACATCAACACTGCCAGTTACTATGGAAATGCGTTCTAAATGCCTTCATAGTGCTCTAGAGCACGTAGAGCGCGTTACAACACTTTTAATTGTATGCTACGTAAAGTGCATTAATTTAGCGCAACAAAGAGTGCAACTGTTTTTTGTCATCGTCCCGTAGCAAACTTTTATATTACAAGTAGAAGCTGTACATTTTAATTTTGGCGCACTTATACTGAGAAAAAAAGTGTGACATGTATAGTACAGAGAGATAGCTTATGACTTTTTAGCTTTCATATTCATATATTCTAGATGTAAATTATATTTAGATTGATTAAATTTTTCTTCCTAAGCTATGGTGCTCTCTATAAGCATATTCGACCAATTAAATAGCATGTTCGTTTAAACATACATGCACACGCGCGACTCTCAAGTAGTTCTCGGGAAATTAATTAAACTTTAATTTCGAGTGCCTATAGATTTAAAAAAAATTCAACTAGTGTACTTACTAATGTTTTTATACGTCCCTTTCTAGTGGAGGTATTATTTCTTGCCTGGGGCGTACGGCTGTGCATCATGGTGCGCAAAGCACCGTCCGAATTCAACGAGAGCCGCTTCATATCAATGGCCATATACAATGAATTCCTGCTGACTTGTTTTCTCAATGTGTCTATGTAAGTGAAAGCCCCTCTGAATGTTCAATTAACGCATTTTTTGTTTTCTGCAACTACTTTGCTATTACATTCACATTTGCGTCAATTTTTCAGGCTCTTCCTACAATCGCCTGCCAATCCGGATTTGCTCTACATCATATTTTTTTCCCATACTCAGCTCACAGTGACACTCCTTTTGGCGCTTATCTTTGGTAGCAAGGTGAGCCCATCGCCGACTTCAATTGCTGCAGCTCGATGCTGACAACTGTTTCTGTTCCTCCAATTGCAGGTTTACATTGTGCTGCGTAGCGGCAAATCGCATCAGGAAAATATTGGTCTGGGCGCCAAAGCATCGGGTGCAAAATTCAATTTTCGCCCACAAGTGCGTACCTTCGCCAATCCCAGCTCGATGACAACATCAACCGTTCCCGTTGCGGGCACTACTTCAGGAGGTGAGCAACTAATTTAATGCTATTACATTTAATGCTTTAAACTTATATTTACGGCCGGTCGTCATTAAATCAATTCAGTACGCCAGAGTCTTCACCGTCCATGGTTGGTGGCCTTTTTTTTTTGACCAATGAGCATTTAAAATGTTTAGACCAACACAGACCTTGTTTTTTTTCAAATCCAAATCGTAAAAAATGCCTTTTTCCTTTTTGTTTATGGTTCTGTATGTAAGATACCTAGGCGGATATCCTGTCAATCATTATACTGATTGGTGGATGGCTAATATCAGTTTCTATTTATAAACATTATGAGCATTTTCTTCTTAAGTCGTATTCGGCTTCATGTCTTAATAAGCATATAAGTAAGAGCCAAATGTTGTTCCAAAGCTGTACATTAAATGTAACAACTTTTATAGTATTATGATTTTTTCAGGAGTTAAAACTGAGTTTATATTTAGCTTTTTTACTTGTTAGTTTGGTGGAAGCTTGCTACAAAATAGGCTTATTTATTTGTTATCTATGGTAGCATTACATCGCCTAGTCAAATAATGTTTTGTAAAAGCCTCATTACTTTAATGAAAAGCTACATTATATAATTACCCGGGTAATAGATTTTTTTCTGTTTTTTGAAAGCATTTTATTGTTGTTGTATGATTCTATTAAAACGAAATTTAAAATTTTATTTAAACAAATATTTGTGTAGGAGCTCAGTAAAGCCAGTATTATTTTTCCCTCATAAGATATTACTAATGCTTAGATTAAGCTGTCGCTGTATCTGTGTATGATTTTATTGGTGACCCTGCAGGAGGCTGCTGTATATATTTATTACCTATTATTTAAAAAATGTGGGACATGTCTCTTAAGTGGCGTCAGATTATCGTCCCCTACGACCCCATTGCCTACGCAGGATATTTGCTGGATCTGTGGAAAATAAGACAGCAATGTCGTTTGTTGCTATTTATGTACTCCTCTAACCGTATCTTTTGTCAACTCTGTCTGCGTTGATTTATGTGTACCCTGTACCCTGTACAAGTTAAATTTCACAATGTTTAATTATTGGAAAAAATTATATTTATTCATCGGTCAATTAAGACCTTTCAGTTTGGATACAAATTTAAGACTAAATTTATAAACTTAAGTTTAGCCCTACGCTAGCTGTGGACGCCTTCAGTGACGCTGGCAGCGGCGCTTCCCGTCAGTCGGCGATGCAGCGAACCTCACGTTGAAGAAACTTGGCCATGTCAGCACAATTTGACTTACAGTGAATTTTATGTTGCAACTGCGCTGGCTTGGCATGTGGCGGAAGCCGACGAGACGCTGATTCTGCAGTGCAAGCTGGTGTAACCGAATCGGAGCGTTGACCAGAGTACTTTTAGTGTTGTTATTATTAACTCCTCCCCCTTTAATTGACGCTTGTCCTCAAGCGGTTTCGTCTTCTCCAAATAGCATCAAAAGAATGGTATATTGTTGAAATGTAGTTGGTCATTTCTTTGTGGCTGTAGGTCTTGTATCGCTTTGAGTTGAGGTTGAGGAGCCATTTGCAGTATTATCTTTTGCTGTTTCTTCTTGTTGAGGTAGAATATACTGATGAGTATTACCACAATGCAGATGACAGTGAAGACCCATGAGCTGTGAGCTGCTATGCGTAGTTTATTCAGCTGCTCGGTGTTGTCGATGTGTAAAGATTCTAGAGCTTCCAGAGACAATATTCTAAGTCGCTTGGTTTCCTCTGGGGTGATTTGGATTACTGGGGAGCCCGTTTTTAGTACTGTGGTTTCTAGGTTGGTGAACACTCTGTTGTCAATTGTGATGGATTCATTCCCGAAGTTAATAAGGTAAGATCCGGCCAGGTTCCTTGTGTTGTTTTGCCGAAAGGTCAGAATCCCGTTGAAGTCGTTGAGCATAATGAGTCCGCTGCTGATTTCTTCAATTTTGTCGATGTGGTCGGCGTTACTGAATTCACACAGCGATTTCTCTCCTTTTAGGAGCCTAGGCAAACAAGTGTTATTTCTAAGGTTTACAATTTCATTCTTATGACAAATTTTTATATTATTATAACTCCTGCAATTCTTTATGATCCCGTACATATTTTCTTTGTTCGAAAAAATTTCCCCAAATTGGGTGTTGACAATTGTGTTGTTTTTTATTATTGGTTTGATTAAAATATTTTCATAATCTATTTCTTCCAAATTTGGTATTTTCACCACATATAGTAGTACAGTTTTATTATGTAAAATTGATACGTCTGAGAATTCTAACATCTCTTCGACTGATAAAGAAGGCATATTTCCTATTTTAAAAATGTTGTCTATTTCATGTATTTCCTTTTCACCGAGTAGAAAGGTGTTTATTATGTTCAGTTTTGCCCATTGTATGGCGTATTTAATATTAATAACTTCTTCTTTGATTAATCTTATCTGGTTTTGGAGGCTAATGGCAATATCATGATTAAATTCGTCATCCCTTTTTATGGTGTTTGTCAAACTATTAGTTATTCTAGTCAAGCTATTTAGTCTTTGTTCTAGTTGGTTATTTATAATTATTTGTTTGTTATTGTTTGAAACTATTTTATTAATGTGTTCTTCCAATTTAATAAAATCGTCGTGGTCAGGGCTTCCTGCCACGTACTTCCATGCAGTTCCTATCATATCTATGGCTCTGGTGGTTCTTTTATTAAAAGTGGAGGTTATGGTGTAGAGGATCGAATAGGTTTGGTTTATTTCGTGGTGCAGAGTATGGTAGAGGCTGCTAAATTTTAGCCCTTGTTCTGTGTGAAATCTGATGGTGTCCAATGCTTTCTCCATCTGATCGAGATCGAGGACGTGAATAATTCTGGTCGTTGCGGTACGTATTTTGCCTAGTCCTAGGTATATTGTTGCAGTTTGCGCGTCTGTGTAGTTCGTTATGTCGACTCCGTACGTCCCAGTTGTTGTCCATGACAACCACCTGTAATTAAGTGTTTTTGATGTTACTCTTGTGTACTATCTTGCCTGTTTTTGTGGTGATTGTTGTGTCGTTATTTTCGTGTACAATCTCTTTCCTGAATCTTGCTGATAATTTCGACCCTAACCTAGTGTTGACTTTCACGAATATTTCGTCACCGGGTTGGTATGTCTTTAGGGATTTCCTACTCCTGTTGTGGTATGCTAGGTCAGTGCTCTGTTTTTGTTTAAGTCGGTCTATTTCGTCCAGTCTGGTCTTTTCGTATAGTTCTGGGTCAGTAGTTATTATTCTTCCAAAAAACACTTCTAGTGGTCGTTTTTTTGTAACGGAATGAAAGGTGTAGTTATACTCGTAGATGGCTCTGTCAACAAGTTCTTCGAATGTTCTGTGAATTTTGTCTTTTCTCACAACCCGCATTATTTCTGACAGTGTAGAGTGGAATCTCTCAATCTGTCCATTAACTGTGCTCTTATAAGGTGGGACTGTAAAAATTTCGATTTTAAGCTGATCAACGAGCATAAACTTAATTGAAGCAGAATTCAGTGATTTTTCATTGTCCATGACAAGGTATTTAGGGACACCAAAATAAAAAATTAAATCTCTTAGTGGGGTTTTTATGTCTTCAATAGATTTTGACTTTATAATCCTTCCCTGTGCCAGCTTTGAAAACTTATCAATGGCAGTCAAAACTAATTTCCCCTCTGTCGAGTAGATATCTATATGGACAATGTGGCCGGGGTATTCTGGAATCGGAGTTTCTTTCAATTTTGGATTTGTTGGATGCCTATCGTATTTTTGTTCTTTACAGGTTACGCATTGTTTAACCAAACTCTCTATCTTTTGCTTCATCTTTGGGAAGTAGAATCGTTCGGACAGTTGGATTTTATTTTCTAGCGCGTTGCGATGAGCACGGAAATGTGTTTTTATAATTTCTTCCTCCTGTTGTGCCTCGCTTGTCAAATCTTTTACCATTCTTTGGGTAAATCTAACCTTGTAATTACCAAAATTATCTGGATAAATCTCCTGAACTTTGCCCATTACATCTTCTGTTGTATAAATTCCGTTAATAACCGAGGGATTAAGATATTTTTTTAAAAGCGTCTTTAGTTCGTCGTTGTCATATGTCTGGCGGTAAATGTCATGCCTGTGAAATGTCGGAAAGGGTATGCTAAATTTGTACTCGGAAGAATCTGCTTTATGAAGGAATATTTGATTTCTAAAAACGTTGATGGGCACCTCCATGCTAGGTATTAGGTTGTGGCTAGAACTCTCGTCGCTATGCTGGGTGCTAACTGAGTTTAATTCAATGGGGTTCGTTATGCGGGACAGAGCATCTGCCACGACATTATCTCTTCCGGGTTTGTAGAGTAATTCGTAGTCGTACTCTTCTAAAAGTGCCTTCCATCTTTTAATTCTGGGATTACCATTCCAACTACTTAGTGAATGGGTAAGAGGCTGATGGTCCGTGAAGATTTTTACTTTGGCTCTGCCATATAGATAATTTCGCAAGGCTTTAAGGGCCCAAACTATGGCTAACATTTCTTTCTCGTCAGCTGCATAGTTTTCTTCTGCCTTTGAGAGTGTTCTAGAAATAAAGGATATTGGCTGATTATTCTGGGATAAAACAGCGCCTATTGCGAAATTGGAAGCATCTGTGGTGAGATGAAATTCTTTACTAAAGTCGGGGTACTTCAAGACTACTTCGTTGGATATAAGAGAATTTTTTATTTTGCGAAATGCCTCTGTTGCCTCTTGGTTGAAATTGATTGCCTTTGTCTGAGAGGTTTTTTTGTTAACGTGTCCATCCACACCTCTCAGCATAGAAGTTAGGGGCTTGGCCAACTTTGCGTAATCTCTGATGAATCTTCTGTAGTAACCTGAGAGACCTAGAAAGGCTCTCAGTTCTCGGACTGTTTTCGGACATGGGTATTTGGCTATTGCCAAAACTTTTTCTGGGTTGGTCTCCACTCCTTTGTCGGAAATGACGAAGCCTAAAAATTCTACCTTGGATTTGAGAAACTCGCATTTGTCCAATTGGCATTTTATATTGGCCCTTTGTA